CTTACAACAATAGGTAGGTCAAGGTATGGGAATGAGGGTACTAGTTGTAGTTCTATAGGACCTGCCCTCTCTTCAGTGATAGGAAGTTCTAGAGGCTCACCTAGAGAGATGGGGAAACAAGTTGTCCATGCCTTAGTCTTTGCCGTTGGTACCACCTCTGAAGAACAAGAGGTGTAGTGAACATAGGACTAAGAGGAAGAGGAGAAGGTGCAAGAATGGAGGAGCCAAAAGATTCAACTACAAAAGCCAAAGGAGCTAAAGGAAGACTAGTACAGGAGTCGATAAGAGTTGGTAAAGGTGGGGGAGAAGCAAACAACTCACTGGAGGGCTCCCTCTCAAAAGAATGGCTATAAAAAGGGGTTGACTCTACAAAAGTGACATCCATAGAAACAAAATGGGTACCACTACTAGGATCAAAGCAACAATAACCCTTCTGTGTGGAGGCATACCCTAGAAAAAATGCACTTCCTGGACTTGGGTTCAAATTTATCTTTTTAGGAACTAGGAACATGAACATAGCAAGTGCAACCAAAGACTCGTAAAGGATTGGAGAAAACTTCAAGGTCTAGAAAGAGAACACTGAACGAAGACTTGAACCCCAAAACTCGGGAAGGCATATAGTTAATAAGATATGTAGCTGCCATCACTGCATCACCCCAAAACCTTATAGGGACATGGAAAGCAAAAAGGATGCTTCTAACAACTTCCACAATGTGTCGATTCTTTCTCACCATTACCCCATTTTGTTCCAGAGTGCAGACATACGAGCCTTGGTGAATAACTCCAAACTTCTCAAAATAAGAGGCAAGATCCTTCTCAAAATATTCCTTAGCATTGTTTGATCATAATATTTTGATCTTAGTGTCAAACTGGGTAAGCACAAATTCATGAAATTGTTGAACAAGTTTAGGCACTTTATCACGTGAATGCATAAGATACAACCAAGTGTAGTGAGAGAAGTCATCAATGAACAAAATAAAATATTTATAGCCTCCCATGCAAAGTAAATGGTAAGGCCCCCACACATTAGAGTGAACAATGTTAAAAGGAAAAATGGATCTTTTATTACTTGTTGGATAAGAGTTTCTACAATGTTTTGAAAACTCACAAGACTCACAATGTAGACTCAATAGACTGACTCCTTCAAACACTATAGGAAACAAAAGCTTTAAAGAAGAGAAAGACAGATGACCTAAACGATTATGACATAACATGACATGACTAACGGACTCTTAACCTATAGATCCAAAAGTTGATTTTTGAGATAGTACTAAACTCTGTTCAGACATGTCTAACAGATACATCCCATTTGCCTCATGGCCACTCCCAATCACCTTCTAAGATTTCATGTCTTGAAAAACACAATAAGAAGGAAAGATGGTTGCGCTGTAGTTCAGAGATTTAGCCAAATTACTAATTGAAAATAAGTTGGTATTAAGTTTAGGTACATGAAACACAAAAGTCAAAGTAAGGGAGTCTAAGGTTTTGATGTCCCCTTTGCCTGAGATGGGGGCAAGAGAACCATTAGCAATATTTTGTCATGACCAGATAAGAGTTGGTAAGTAGTGAATAAAGCGGAAGCACTAGTTATATGGTTAGAAGCACCAGAATCTATTATCTAGGGGATCCTACAATTACTTACAGTAGAGGCATGATCCATAGTAGCACGAATACCTAAGTGAGCATAGGTAGAGGTGGAATTGTTATTGGGTGGAGCAGAAGTTGAAGTAGGCTCTAGATGACTGATGATGCAGCCATATTTCTCATATTCAGCCCTAGCGGCTGCAAGCTGTTCCCCTACTTCTCTCATCACATTGCCCTTTCTCACCATCAGAGGAGGTTGCTACATTAGCCTAGACTCCTTTCCCATTCTTGCTCTTTTTGTCATTGTTACTATTATTCTTGAATCTAGGGGGTAGGAGCTCTGGATGTAACTTCCAATAGGTATCTTTTGTGTGCTTTGACTTCTTGTAGTATTCACACATAACCTCCTTTCTCTTAGTACCACCCTTCTACTTCGTCCCAACATTAGCAAAGTGTTCCACTGAGGTCTCCACAATTTGAACCTGCCTCTTTCTCTCCTCACTATGACCATAATATAAGCCTAAGAAAGGGTCACCTCATCCTTAGCTAATACATTTTGTCTAACTATATCATACTCGAGATTGAGCTTGGTTCAGAGCTCAAAAACCTGATTCCTCTATACCAATTTCCTATGAGTTTCAACATATTTTGTGCATCCCCATTGAACTGTCTCCATCAAATCAATTTCCTGCCACATAGACTTCAATATTGAGAAATACACAACTAATGGATTCTCCCCCTATCTCAAATTATGCACACCATTCTTCAATTTGTAGGCCCTAGCAACATTTAACTTCTATGAGTAGATCTCCTTAACAATACCCCATACCTCCTTAGCAGTCTCTAACCAAAGTAGTGTTGACTGATATGAGGTTGCATAGAGTTCACCAACCATCCTACAACAATGTAACTATCCTGCACCCACTTCTCATAGGTAGGAATAGGATCATCATCCTTGGGTTTTGTCTTACTCCCAATGACATACCCCCATTTTCCTCTACTACAAACATGAATTTTTATTGATTGAGACCATGCCAAATAGTTTGTCCCATCTAGCTTCACAGTAGTCTCTGCCCCACAAGGATATAAGCCTTGTGGGGCATCCAAAGTCTGTAGGGTATTTTGTCTCACCTCCAGTATGCTCCATTGATCAACCGGAGGCAAACGAATATCAAAATAAGATACTATTAATAAAAAAATACTAACTTGAGATTTTCTGTAGCAGAAAACTAGGGTTTCACAGCACCCGATATAATGAGAGAAAATGAGCGAGAGAGAGAACTTGTGGCCACTCCTACCAGGGACTCTAGAGACTTCTCCAGCTAGAGTCGATCTCCAAATGGGTCAGTAAACTCCCTTTTAAGCCCCAAATGCTAGCTTCAGAGTGTCTCTAAACCCCTTTAGTCCAATTTCTCCAGTCAGCTAGGGTTTTTGGGAAAAGTCTCCAAGAACTTGCCTTCGACCTCAACCTAAGTGATAAATCTTCTCTAGAAATCCCCCTTGACTGGGCAACATCAATCTTCAATCACTCAACAGCTTACTTCTCCATACACACTGTGTATGGCCGTATGGGCCTAAGAGAAGAAAAGCAGGAAGTGGGAACCTGCTCCGATGCCAAGAAGAAAACCAGTCCAAGAATTTCTTACTTGTATAACAAGAAAAAATAAGAAGGAAGAAGAGAGAAAGAGCTGCTCAAGAGAAAGAAGAAGTTGGAAGAAAAGAGGAAGAGAAGAGAAGAGAAAAATGCCCCTCTCTAACTCCCTTAGTCTCTTTATACATGTGCTGGATTAATTTAAAGGAAAAATCACATGGGTGCCCCTGGTTAGGCAGCTGACTCAATAAATATAGGAACTAATGTGTTAAGGGCCCATAAAGACAGCCCATTACAGTAAATAAAATAATAACCAGCTGAACTAAAGCAAGGCCTATTTGGCTCAATCCCTCTACACTCCATTTCCTTTTTAACACCTAACAAAGAGAAACCACTCCCTTTCTTAGAATAGCCTTTTCCCTGGGTGGAGCTGGGGCGGGCCCAACCTGAGCCTGACTTGACCCAACCTGAGTTCTTGCATAGGTTGGGCCTGATTTTTTGGGCTGCAGGCTGGGCCTGAGCCAAAAACTCGGGTTTGACCCAAACTTGGGTTGGGCTTGGGTTGGAGGCCTCGGGTGAACTGAATCAACCCAACCTGAGCCCGTCCAAACAAATACATGCATATATCATCATCATCCATGCATATATGTACTATATTTATATAAAAGTGTCTTTTCTAGGTACATGTATAAAATATGTATTTGTACATTTGTAAATGAAAATTTATACATATTTTCAATTAATTTTATGCTTAAATTGGACCATCAAGGCCAATAAAAGATGGCTATATAAAAATATATACATAAATTCTTTCAAACCCAACCAACCCACCCAAGCCCAAGCCCATCCTGAGTTGTGTTGGGTTAAGCTTAGGTTGGGCTTGACATCGAGTTGAGCCAGGTCCAAGCCCAAGGCTTGCACCTTTAGGATTGGGCCTGGGTTGACCTTCAACCCAACCCAACCCACCCGAGTTGCACCCCTACTTTGTCCTCTCTCCTCTATCATTCTTATACAAAGGAACCACACCTTTTATATAGAAAAAACCACACTCATTGTTATATAAGGAACATCCCTCCTTCCCAAGTTGTCTACACCCAATATTGGATCTCAACTCAATCCAATGGTTGTGTAAAAGCAAGATCACCCTAACAATATCCACATTAGCTTGTTTATGAGACACTTTGAAGATCACCCTTCAACACTTGGAGTTTAACCAGCTAAATGACATCAAATTCCTATACATCTTTAAGAAATATGCCATACCATCTAAAGTGTCAATCACCTCATCAAACATTTTGATGTTCATCATCCCAACACCCACGATGTTACAAATAGAGTTATTGCTTATGGAAACAACACTCAAAATGGGAATCTCTCCATGAGAAAACCCTGCATTCATGATTTTCTCCTCCTCTGCCTTCTTTTTCTGTTTTTTGTTTTGATCAGTAAAACAATTTCATTAATCAAACAAAAAAGAAAAAAGGTACAAAGACAGGGAGGTAAACTTTCTTAACTCCCCGTACTGAGGCTAGAGCCCCCATAAAGAAAAAATAAAGTTACAACTGAGCCCAGAACATAGATTCCCTAACCACCCCTTGCTTGGCTAATTCGTCAGCAAACGAGTTAGCATATCTTTTCACCCAACTGAGCTTAATTTCCATGTCCTCCTCTGCCTTCTTCTTTTAGTACTACTATCATGAGAAAACTTTGTACTACCATGGATACAGAATTAATACCTAGTTTTATATGTTAGAAAGAAAGAGCCCCCATTTCACATGAAAAATAAAACATTCCTTTCATTTAACCAAAAAAGTACAACTTTCAATGAATAATCCTACAAACAGAATACAAATTCTAAATATGTATATATTATCTCTTCAACCACATTGTAATGTTTAAAAACGATGACAGAGACTTGGCCAACATGAGTTTATTAATAAAAATATATTTACAAGAGAAATTACACCTATATGTCAACGAGGTCTGATGGTGGGGATAATACCACTAACAAGATTACTGCTGGAAATATTGAAAGACATGTCTGAGTCCCTTGTGGCAGAGGTCAATGAAGAAGATGGTGCTGAAGTACCAGAATACGTCTCCGTAGAGCGTGGTGCTGAAATACTGGAATATGTATCGGTAGGCTTGGACAGCAAGGTGTCGGACTCTGACAACATATCAAGTATGTTTTCTAGCTCCCTCACCACTTCTGACATTGAAGGCCTCATTTCTGGCTTGTCCTGGCAACATCTGAGAGCTAAAACAACAAACTTTTCCACACATTCAGAGGGATAAGAGCCCATACGATTGTCTAAGATAGAGTGTGTCATATCAGAACGATATGCTGCATTCACCTGTAATCAGAGAATAAAGAAAAACAACAACTATTTTTATGTGAATGAAAAATACAGAAATTGTGCCCTTCAGTTTGGGCCAGGACTTTGTTATTTGCAATATTGTTTATTTGTGTTTCAAATTTCAGTCATAGGTCAAGTTTTATTAATTTAAGGAGTTTGACTGCCCCTAAAGAGTTGATTTGCATATGTATTGTCTGAAAATATGGTGAATGACATAGTGGATGGGTTAGCTAAGCAAGGGGCCTCAAGGAGCCCATACGAATGACATTTATTTTGGGCAGCTCTGTAAATTTTCGTTTTCTAGTCTGATGTAATACAATGTTGTTGTTTAAGAGAGGTACCAGCTCGTGCCTCTCCTGGGTAGCCTGTGTTGTCTTATCATATTGATCTTTCTTGAATAAAATCTTACTCATTTATCAAAAGAAAATGGTGAATGACATGTGAATGAAATTCCTGCATTTTGTGCTTATAGTGAGTAATTTCCATGAACCCTAGAGTGACTCTATGCCTTTTTTAAGTGATTCCAGGTTCTCTGTTTTCTCTATAATTCTATAAGTAGCAACTACAACCATCAATGACCCTCAAATTTGTTATCGAGGCTCAGTTTGGAAGGAGTACAAATACAAATATATGGAGTGCAAAATCTTATATTCGGTATTATTTTTTATGTATTTGTACCGTGCTTATTTGTATTTGTACTCTTTCCAAACTGAGCCTGAAGGAATTCATTCTATGGCCTTAGAAGACTGAAATCCAGGTAAAATCTTCATCTTTTCGTGTTAAACCATCTCTGAATGCCCTAATACTATATCAACCTATAATTCCCTATTATCTTCTATCCTTCCAAATTTCGTCCCAAATCTTCATACAAAGTCCTAGTTTCCACAACTATAGCGATTTCTTTCACAAAAACATGTTTTTCGTCCATTTGTGGAAAACCTGCTCAAAATACCTTCAAATTAAATCATCCTTTACAATCCATCATCTTATACATTTCTAGAATTTATTAAAAATGTCATCTTCACACTTAGTTTCTTCAGATTATTTTTCCACTGTATTAGAGAGAATCCGAAGTTATCAACAATTTGGCCTGTAACCTTTGTAACTCCTATCAATCCTTTAGTCCTAAAATTATCCCCAAGTCCTTAACCCATTGTTACCCACCTAGACTTACCACTGAATCATACTAGTCCTACATCAATAAGAAGCCTAAAGTTAAAGACTTGTCAGTCATAAGGACCTTTTTGTTATTTACTTGAGTTGTTAAGGGCACTAAATTCTGAAAGTGGGTGGCTGGGATTATTAAATGTGTTAGGAGATCCAAGAGCTGGAAATCAAAGTATGGTTTTTCTTTCTTTATTTATCTATTTGGGGTGATCTCCTCTCTCTCTCTCTCTCTCTCTACCCTTGTTAGGAGCATATTTCACATGATTTTATACTGCAAATCTCCTTTATCTTGCTGTTTTTCATCACAGCAGATTAGAGCTGACTCAAGGTTGAAATAAACTCTTAGCTGTGCTATAGCTGCTCCCTTCAAATTTAAGGATACAAAATTGTGTATTTTGGTTTACAAATTGAGAACAGTGAATCACTGTTCTGATTGAATAGAGGAGAGAAAAAAATTTACTTAGGTCTATACATTGGTCAGCTGTAGATCAGACTAAACAAACCATCTGTGCTACTACCTAATAGGAAGTGGGTGAAACTTACAATTCAATCAGAAGTTTCTAATAAGCCTACACAACCAATTAGCTACTCATTTTTCATAAACAATTCTTTCATTATTTGAATAAAATTTAACAGTTATAACTAATAATTAAAATAATTATCATATTCTTCTTTTCTGTTTTACACAGACTAGCTAGCAACTGATTTATCAGTTTGCACCAATTCATGAGAGGACAGCCATTTTATTGTCATGGTGAAGCAAGATAAATTTCAAGTCAAACACCAAATGATTCATATCCATACAAATTTAAGGTTATCCTACGGTAAAGACTCAATAAATTATGATGTGATGATGTATCAATTCAATTGTAATCCTAAAAAGAACTGTTAGAGAATATCAACCTATTCAAGGACCTCACCTAACAGCTTAAGCTTTTAGGTTGAATGGTTCTTTGAGATGGTATCAGAGTCACTTTGACCAAGTGGTCTAGTGTTTGATCCTCATTACCCCCATTATAATTAATTAAGTTTCAGCACAAGGTATGGGTGGGTCTGTGCTTGTTCACACTTCAAGCCAATGGGCTTTCGTGTGAGGGGGCGTGTTAGAGAATATCAACCTATTCAAGGACCTCACCTAACAGCTTAAGCTTTTAGGTTGAATGGTTCTTTGAGAAGAACAATGTCTAAGAAGGAAGCAGGGGCTTGAAGATTACTGTTAAAGATAAGTACCTCACGAACAATGTTTTTACCATGCGATATTGGTGGCATCCCTGTCAATAGTTCAAGAAATACAACTCCAAGGCTGTAGACATCACTCTTATCTGTCAATTTATGGGTTAAGAAGTATTCTGGATCCAGGTAGCCCTGCATGTAAAATGACATGTAAGAGTGAACCACTAAAGAAAGGGAAAAAGCAGCTGCTTTGATTCCATTCCAAACACTGACATCAAAGCTACTGTGTTTAAATTTCTTAGCAGACCCAGTGTCTCCTTTCATTTCCTCTTTTCCAACTAATTGGTCTCCTTGAAGTCAACTCAAAAAGTCAAATAGTTAATAGTCAGCCAAATGTTGGAAAGTTCACATTTGTCTAATAAAATGTGCATGGATCTTTCAACTAAAGGATAAATAATTAATATTGGACCTTGGCAAAGCAGAAAGCATTGTAAACAAGTTTAATAAAATGTAAAATGCGGCAAGATGAAAAGACATCTTCATGTGATTATTATTGGGGACAATGTTTTAAAACACGGAGGCATTAGGTGAGGCATAGTTCAGAATGCAAGAAGTGTAAGCCTCCTTAGGAGGAAGAGGAAGGGGGATGCTATCTTGTTCTTCTTGTTTCTTTTCTATAAAATGTGTCTTGGATTAAGAGGAATAGAGATGCATAACACTAACTTGAAAGGGGGTCCTGTTGAAGTGGAGGTGAGCAAGCTGGAGCAGAGCAGACCCACAGCACAAGAAAAAAGGGATGCATTAGGAAGATGTGGGGTGGGGGGGTCTGGGGGCCCAAACTTCCATTCCATTCTTTTCCCTTCCCTTTCCTTTCCTTTTCTTTCTTTTCCGTTTTTTGATAATTAAAAGATATATTTCATTAGAAAAAAATGCCATACTGCCCCAAAAAGGTTGGCAGTGGCAATGTTGTTAAAATCTTATGATTTACGATACAATTCACGCCATGGGTTTTGATTTGAATCTTATGTCTGAATCTTTTTCTGCAAAAATCCAACAATTTTTGTTTGAATCCTATGATTTGATTCATAAATCTTACGATTTATACAATTCATGCAATTCATTGTGATGCAAATCAATTCAATTAATAATTAGTTCTCTACTTTGTCAATTTGTTTTGTTTATATTTAGTTTTGTCAAGGGTGACTTGTTTTAAAGACCTTACTAGAAATTGATTTATTTACATTACTTAGGACTATATGTTGAGTTTATTTTCTATCATGTGTTGGATAAAGAGCTATTATATGTGGATTATTTGACTTTCAAGTCAAACTTGATTATATCATCTTAGATTTCTATTGTATGGTAAGTTCTATTGTTTTAGGTACATATATGGTAGGTATGACTTAAAATAACTCTTTTATATTTAGTATTTTAGCATACCTATATTTAATTTTTGACAAGTTTGTAAAAAAATAGAAACAATCTTATGATTTATGATATGATTCACAATTCAATTTGATTCAACTTTCTCTATGATTTATGATGCAATTATGATTTTCAGTAGGCCAAATTGTGCAATCTAGATTACCATACAATCAACATAAAAAAGAAAAAGTAAAACAACTTTTACATATTACAGCCCGGCCCAGGGCAACCCCATTCTAGACAGTCCCCTCCAACCCCTTCTCTTGCCAAAGAATCAGCCAGCATGTTAGCACTCCTAGGCACCCAAATGAATGGGGTTTTCAGGCCTTCAAGGAAGTACCTAGTGAGAGGCCAACTATACCAGTGACCTAAATTCCCATGGAATCTGATCATTAATCCTCAATCAACTAATAACTGTTTGACAGTCACCTTCCACTTCCACATTCATTACTCCCTGCCTTACTAAGAGTTTAAGTCCTTGAATCAAAGCCAACAATTTTGCACTCAAAGGGTTTCATAGCCCACTGAACCTGAATAGCTGACAATTAAGTTGCCATTATGACCTCTGACAGCTCCACCTATACCTGAGGCCCCTGGATTTCCAAGACAGCATCCATTAAAGTTCAATTTCATTACCCCTTCCACAGGAGGGACTTTCCTACCAATCTTTTTGTCTTCTTATTCAACAGCCAGCTACAATCTGCCACTCCCTGAGCAAGTCATTAGGGGATATAGTACTATATATAAGATTCTCTAAATCCTAGTAAAACTCAAAAAATACACATAAAACTTCTATTGGACCATCAAACAACTTAACCCCTAGTACAACAAAAATAAACCCTGGAACTGGTGCAATTCATGAGAGTAACTGAAAATTAATGCAAAGCTAAACGATCTTTAAGGGGCATTCTATTAGAAAAGATTTTATAAAAATAAAATTCTTGATTATTATGTTCATATGCTTATTCAACAATGAAAAAAGAGAGACAACATTACCGGGGTGCCCTTCACGATGGTGGATACATGACCTGGTACTATCCCTTCATCATCTGGAATTGGTGCAAGTCGTGAGAGCCCAAAATCAGCTACTTTTGCAGTAAACTTAGAGTCCAGAAGTATGTTGCTGGCTTTGATATCTCGATGGAATATAGGAGGGTTTGCTTCGGTATGTAGATAAAGGATGCCTTTGGCTGAACCTAGTGCAGTACGTAACCTCATACTGAAACTTGGGCCTTCTTTTGATTTAGCTGTCAATCACAATCACCAAAATTAGAGATGATTGTGGTCAGTAAGAATAAGTGTAGAAACTAGTGCAATGTATTACAGTACTCCCAAATGCAAATTGGTTTGGATTTTAGTTCTGCCAAATTTCCATGCTTCTCTTTTGTGATCTGATTGATAAGAGTTTTACAGAAATTATTACAAAGGTCTTGATATTAAGACAATTACAACACTTTCAGGATGGTGCTGGTACTAAGAGAACTAAAACACTTTCTATAGGATTAAGATATCATTTTAATCCTAAAAAACTACTATGGTGATTCTAGTCCTAAAAGGATAGTATAATTTTTATCATTAGTAAAGAAGATTTTAGTAATATCAAGGGAAAAGAGAAGGTACAACTGTCATGCCACGAAGAGGCAAGACCAAGAAAAAAATTCAAAATAGGTTTCCCAAGAATAGAACAACCAAACTTCACTCAACTCAACCCATCTTTAATTGAAACTAGTTGGGGTTGGCTACACAAATACTTTCTTCCCATTGTGCTTTATTGAGAACAAGACAACAATTATTTTTAACAAACTCATTATTTTTTTTGATAATTAACAGAACAAATTTCATTAAAAAACCACCGTACTGCTCAGAAAGGTGAGCAGTAGGCCAGATTGTACGTTTCAGATAACAATACGAGCTACACAAAAAGAAACAAAAACCCATCTTTTACAGCCCCATTCTAGACAATCCCTTCCAACCCCTGCTCTTGCCAAAGAGCAGCTGTACCAGTGAAAGAGCCAGCTGTACCAGTGACCTAAATTCCCATGGGGTCTGATCATTTGTCTTCATCCAACTGATAATTGTTTGACAGCCACCTTCCACTTCTACCTTCCTCACTTCCTGTTTCAACCAAAAGTTTTAGTCCTTGAATCAAAGCCAAAAGTTCAGCCCTC